GTACTCCCTCAACACAAGAACACTTTGTTCTAATAACCTGGCATTCTGTGATGCTCACTCTCCCAACTCGATTGCTAAAGACAAAATGGGTGCATAAGCAAATGTGGTGAAGAAAGCTGATGGTGCTCAGTTGCTAAAAAAATATGGCATCTGGGTTCTTAAAGGTTTGAAGTTAAACAAGAGACCATCTAACAGGGAAGCAACAAATCCCACATGGAAGATGTACACGAGCCTGTGTGATAACAGGGTGTCGGCGGGACCAGGTATCAGACATCAGAAGACCCAAAACAAAAAATATATCAATGCAAATGATGGGGGAGACCCAAAGCCCATCTGTAGACAATTGGACACTCCCTCACAGAAGGGTCACAAGGAGACAACCAGGGTGCAGCATAGCATCAACAGAACACACAACATCCCCCTAGTTCTTTAATGCTTCCCCCGACTCCCCACTATCATGACCCCAGTTCTACCTTTCAAATCTGGCTAGACCAGAGCATGTACACTGCTACAGATAACAGCTCTCGACACATGGAATCCAGGGTGAATAAACCCCTCAAGAACAGTAATTGGAGTAGCGATACCATGAAGGTAGGGGGAAGGTGGGAGTAAAAGGGGGAGAAACAGGGAACCGACTACAATGATCGATGCATAACACCCCCTCCACCCGCCATGTGGACGAACAACAGAAACATGGGTGAAGGAGACAGTGGACAGTGTAAGATATGAGAATAATAATAATCTGTAATTTATCAGGGGTCCACAAGGGTGGGAGGGTGGGGAAGGCAGGGGAAACAAAGGTTATACCAAGGGCTCAAGCACAAAGAAAATGTTTTGAAAATGATGGTGGCAACATGTGTACAAATATGTTTGATACAATTGATATATGGGTTGTTATAAGAGCTGTAAGAGCCCCCAGTAAAATGATTTATTAATTTGAATAAATAAATAAATCCAGTGTCCATCGAAGCCCTTCTGACCATGAACAGCCACAGAATAACTTTGCCCTTAGGCAGAGTGCCATGGAGAGTGGATTCCTGTCAGTCCCCTGGCTGGTGCAGGTAGATGCAACATAGTCCTTGGGGATTCACCTGAGTGTGACCTTCATCGAGAGGGGGTGCTAGAGTCACATGATCGTTAGTTCCATCTTGACTGTTGGCTTGGAAGGCCTTAACCCAATCATGTAAGCTGGTCTAACATAGTGTATGTGTCCCAATAGTCCTGTTCCCACATCTGTTGTCCCCCCCTGCCACTACGATATCCTGATTTGCCTACAATCACACATTTATGACAGTTTCCTTTTGCCCTCCGATGTCTTTTTTAGTTTTAAATCTCTGCAAAACCCTTGACCACCAGTATGCCGTTGGGCTAATGGGCCCCTATCTGGAGGATGTCTTTGTTTTGTCTTTTCCTGTTTAAAACATAAGATGTTCTCCTTAAATTCTATTTGCAGGCCCTGCTGCACCCCAAAATACCACTTGCCTGGAATTGATGCCGTTACCCCAGCCCAGAGGGAAGAGTTTACTGCGTTAAAGTTCCTACCCTAAGTGGAATGGAAAGCCGCCTGGGAGCACTAGCTACACCACTTCCTGGTACCAACGGGGGACATGGAAACCAGTCACAGGAGGCTAGAACAGGAACTAGTGTGGTGGTGGCCAGCCAGGAGTCGTGGTTCCGTGGGGGGGCACTGGTGTGGGTTCAGCACCCAGCCAGGTAAGATGCGTTGTTCGAAACCAGCATCTAAACCACCGGGGTCGCCCGACTCATCACAGTAGCAAAATGACAGCGATGAAGTAGCAACGAAAATAATGTTATGGTTGGGGGGGGGGTCACCACCACACGAGGCACTGTATGAAAGGGTCGCGGCAGGAGGAGGGTTGAGAACCACTGCTGTAAACCGAGAGGCCAATGGGGACAGATGTGGAGGCTGCAAGTATTGCTCTCATGTCCCTTCCCTAAGGGACTGGCTTCTTCTCCCAAGTGTCTGGTGTGGTAAACAGGAGAAGGCTCCCCCTTTTCCCTCCCTCTGCCCCAAGATAAACCAAAATAACCCCCCAAAGTTTGCCACTGATTCGATTCTGATGCACCGCGACTCCTTGGGCTGCAAAACAGAACTGAGCTCCACATGGCTTCCTTGACTACAATCGTACAGAAGATTGCCAGCGCCAGGCCTTCTCTGATGGTAGTAGGTTCAAAGTGCCAGCCAGGGACCTCCTCCTGCCCCACCTCCCCCCACACGTCCCCCCACCACCACCTTAGCAAACAAGGCAGATGCTGGTGGGAGCCAGGGGACAGCGAGACAGGCAGGGGAGGCTGCTGGAGGTGGATCAGACCTGTCTTGCGGGCCCACGCACAACTTAGCAGCTGAGGCGATCTTCAAACGAGCCAGTGGAGCCAGCGGCCCTGGAGTCGAATCTGACTCCTGACAACCCCAGGCAGTCAGAGCTGAACCGGATACGCAGGGTTCTTCGTGGCTGGTGTTCCCTAAGTGGAAACCAGGCCTTGGCTCCGAGGTCCCTCGGGATGGCCTCAGCCCTCCTTACATTTCAGTTCACAGTCACCCAGCGAGTGTTAGGCCCTTTCGCCTTGGGACTCATGGGACCACGGAGCATCAGACAAGCGCAGGTCTCCATTGCTAAACTAACCCAAACCTCCCTTTTATTGGAAAGGCAGAAGCCTGGGCTCAGTCCACCTGAGATCCCAAGGACATTGCGGTGAGCTCACCCTGCTGAGGCGCTGGGGTGCTGGGCTGGGGAAACTGCACTTCTTAGTCATTCGTGGTCTCAGCAAGCGGGGCATCTACTCTGCCGCTTTTGCACCTCTTCTGGCCTGGGATCTCATCCAGGTTCCTGCAGATCCCATCTGCCTGGACTGGAGCCCCATGGAGGCCTGGCTGTCCTGGGATTGGCAGTTTCCCCAGAACTTGG